ATATATATATATACACAGTACATCTGTATATCTATACACACACACAGAGGCACGTGCATTGTCATATGTGTGTATCCTTTAGGTAGCACTGGATGATATGCTGCCAGGAAACTTTACATTGTTTCTGCACTTCTAGATAAGTCTCGAAATTACCAGTGGTACTGGCTGTGCCTAAATGTAAAGATAATGGGAAACGGTAATAGCAAGCTGCCACATGAATAAATAGTTGAAAGTGAAAGGAGGAAGGTAGATTGAGCAAGCAGCTAATAAGAAAGTATTCATTTCCAAAATGCAACACAGAAAGAAGAAAACTAAACGGAGACTGAATCTTAGACGTTCACTCTGTACATTAAGTTTAATGGTTCTATCAACGGCTTCATATGACAGGAAATGATCTGGGCGTTTTGTTCACTTATTCTGGATGCCCTTAGTTTCAGAGAGCAACTGGTAACATGGATTGCACCTCGGAAGGGGACAGCTGAACTCTCTCTCTGGCTTTAGTGAGGAAAGAGCAGCGATGAAATCCGTGGACTGCGTGCACGTCATCCAACAGAAGGATGCCACCTCCTCTCCCTCTGCCCCCCCCAGTGCTGCTTCAGGCACCACGGGACTTTTTTCTGTCACATTCCTGTGGCTTGCAATGCTCCTGTCCTCTTGTCTTGCAGCAGTGTCTCTTTACCATGTTATCACCCTGAAAACAGAACTAGAAGCTCTGCGCAGTGAGCTGACCTACAGGGTCCAGGCAAGGTCTCCACTAGACCAGCCACCTGTGTCCCCCAACGAAAATAAAGTGGGTACCCCTGCTTCTCCCTTCCTGCAAGTGTCTGCAGCCAGCACCAGGCAGGTAAGCTGAAAGGGTGGGTTTTGGCTTGCAGGACATGGGTGAATGTGAGGCTGCTTTCACTGACTATTGATTTTGGGTTAGGAGAACAGGCTTCTTGGTCCTGGCCCCACCGAAAGCTTCCAAAAGGAACTCTGGAACCGGAGCAGAAACAGGAGGAGGAGGGCTGTTGTCCACACAGAAGAAACAGGTAAATAGCACTCGGTGGAGTGGGTTGGGACGCCGCAGTTGGATACTGTCTTGAGAACAGCAGCAGTGCTTGACTTGTATCTGCTCCCATCCACTGATCCGTGCTCCCAGGACCTGTTAAGGTTTTCACAATTATTGCTGAATGAATGGTGTTAACTGTGTTCTCTTAATGATTGCCATACTGCTTCAGATACTAGGTATTCATGCTATCTGCAGGTTGAACTTTGAATGTTGGATCCCACATCTGCTTCTTACAATGGAGGTACTTCTCAATGATGTGGTAGAGTTGAGTAAGGCAAATTTAAATTCATCAGATTGTAAATTACTCGGTTCTAAATCCATCATTCTCAGTTCAGGATAATGTCCAACTTTTTTCTGTCTGATCAGTATTAGGGAGGGAAAGCTATTATTAAAAATGCCATATCATTTTTCTGGGAAAACATGCTGATCCTAAAAGAGAGAAGTAACAAGAAAGCTCCTAGTTCCCTTACTTTAGGGAAGTAGGAGCTTTCAAAGAGAAAAGCTGGGTTGTACCTGTCAAAAGATGCAGACTACAAGGAATTCAGAAGTTTAGCATCATTTCTGCATTAAAACAATCTATTGATATAATTAGCAAAATTAATAAAGACATGCCTATCCAGTAAGATTTTTTTATCATGCCCTTTTTTAAAAAAGTGCTGCAGAGAACACTGAAGACTGTGCTCCATAATAGACCACTGATGTGTATTATAATGTTGGAATATTAATGGCATATGTTTGTTTCTTATGGAGACAAAATGCCTACATTTTTTTTTCTTTTTCTCTTTCCAAACACACTGATACCTGATAGGATGAAATACAGAATTTTATTATGACAATTTGCTTACATACTGCAATTGCACCACGTAACTAAAAATGTTCCTGAGTTGCTAAATCAGTTCAATCCTCTTACAGATACTTTTAGAATGTTTCAACTGATGAAAGCTCATATCTTAATTTATTAACAGATGAGGTTAAAATTGAGTCATTTGTAGGTAAAGAATGCTTAAAATGTGCTTTTGATTGATGAATTACTGTGAAATGTATTACACTTAAGCTTCAGAAAGCTAAATGAAATTTCATTTCTAGAGTATAATCACTCTACCTACCTCCAAGTCTCTCAAAAGAGAATATTTATTTAGGACATCATCCCAAATCCGTAGGTTTGGATGGGATTTATTCTGTTTCATTAGTAATCTTTGGTTCAGGGTCTTGGTTAAGAGTGATTTCACAAACAAGACTGAGAACAAGATTGTTTAAATTGTATTTCTTGTAGCCTGTTTCCTAATAAGGGACCCACAGATCTTCCCTGCTCTCCCCACCCTAGGATCTCCCAGATAAAAACTAGTGATCTTTTATAGCTAAAGCACAAGTATCTTCAAAAAATAAGGAGACATATCTTGTTTTTAAATGAATGTTATAGCATCAGTACTCCGCAAGTTATTCAGTTCCCTTCACAGTAGCTCTCATCTTTATTCTTATAACTAGTTGAGGGTGTATCGGGGAGAGGAGGGTTTTGGGCTCCTCAGCTGTGCTTCTGGCAGATGGAAGATTCTTCTCATCGGGTAGCCACCTCTGATTATACCTATTTATCTTTCTTCACATAAAATTCTAATTAAGCTACTTATTTCTGTAAGCTTTTGGTTTTTTTTTTTGGTTTTTTTTTTTGTTGTTGTTGTTTTTTTTAAAGATACAGCTGTCCTTAAAATTGTTTAGGATGAATAACAGAAAGTACGGAATACGAACATTCATTTAAAACTGAAAAGCTACACAGGCTGACCTCCCACAAAACATTTTTTAACACGACCATCATATTTTGTACTTAAAAAAGAAAAAAAGTAAATTAGAAATCTTGCACTCACATAAAAGGTCATCTGTTAGAGTTACCTTTCTACCTGCACTACTTACAACAAATTAATCTTCCCAGAGGTCAGTAAGATGTTACATTTTCTCAGATCAAACTTCACTGATGACCATGAACCTACTAGTCAATGTTAAATTTTGTTTTAGCAGAGTGAGTGAAATAGGAGAACACGGTGTTGTTCATGGTGCTGAATCCTGTCTGTTACTGCATCATGTACACACAATTACTAGCCCTGCATTTTCATATTCTCACATCCATTTCTGGGTACTGGAATCCCAGCAGCCTCCAAATCAGCCTGCAGATGAACTGCACTCATTCTGGTACAATGGCAGATAAATTAGGGTACCAAGTGAGGTGCCTTGTTCTTATCCTATTTCTGTTTGCTTCAACAAGGTCTCAAAGTAGAATCTGGTGTCATAATTGCTGACCTATAATTTCACTTTAACATGGACCGATTCCTTAGAAAGTGAATACTTGAAAATATCACTGATATACAATTGCTTCTCATCAGACAGCAGAAGTAAAATATAGAACCATTAGTTTATAAATAAAGTTGTGTTTTGATTCTGTTTTCTTTTTAAACTTTAATTATTAAGTTCCAGAAATTGATGCCCCCTGATTCTTTTTCTGCCCAGCACAGCCCTTCTTGAACATAGGGAATTTCCTTTTTTTTTTTTATTTGCTTGATGTTGTGTGCATAAAAGTGGCCATGAATGAGAATTTTAATTTAAATGACAACTGAATGAAAATGGATCTAACACAATATTGTTCTTTCATATTTTTATGGGGTATGCATTTGCCTGTGTTCATGCGTGAAACTATTAGTCATCCTTAGCTGTATGTATGTTTTGTGTCTTGAGAAAATTTCCAGCTCAAGTAGGTTGAAGAGGTGGGTTTCAAGCATCAATTCCAAAAACAGCTGTGCACTTAGCAGTCAGAACCGGAGTTCTTGATACAATGTGTAGGAGTTAATGGGTGATTTTGAAACGTACATATTATTAATAGACAGGCAGATAGATCATCTATCTGCTTCTAGCAAATGTCATATCAGGACAGAAAAGAATAGCTATATTTTTTCTTATTTGTCTTTCTTTTTATAAATTTTGCCTGTAGAGGAAAATTGCTACATCACAAAAACCTCTCCTGAATTTTATACTCTGGACACCATTCTTGATTACATTGCCTTCATGTTTCTTTCTAAGCTGTATGTACACTCAACACGAGGAACAAGATATAGGTTCCATTACCTCAGCCAGGTCAGTGGCCAAATGTCAAGTTTCATTTACACGCCCTCTCTGTGCCTTATTCTGATCATCACTGTGGTATTCTGATTCCCATGGCCAGCTAAGGAAGTGAGCATCAGGCCTCCTGTTAACTCAAATTCAGGCAACGTGCTGCTGTGATCAGATTGGAGCACCCATGGGCTACATTTACTTTGGTGTATTGAGGTTATCCATCTCAAACAGTCTGACTGCATGTATGGAAGGAACTGAGGAGAAATTCTAAGTAATTCCATGAAGCAGTGAAACAGGCTAACCTGGCATGTGACTTGGGAATTTTTTTTAATTTACTAGCAGTTCCCAGGTTCTACCCCAATATCAGTTATGTTTGTGCATGTGCAAGCATGTGCAAGCATGGCGTATAAGTTGTGAGAATTTTGCCATTGTTCTTGTTATAATTGCATTACTGGTGAATCGGTACATTTGTTGGTTAGAATGTTTTGACTCTGTATGTTGTTGGTTTAGATCTCTGTGACAGAGAGACAGCAAGAACTTTTACAAGTGGAACTTGACCTTAGTGATCTTTGAATCAAAAACCCTAACCTTTTGTTACTAGTTTAAACAAATGCCACATATACAAATATTCAAAATACTTCTCATTTTATTATTTGAAGAGGGGAAATATGAGAGTTCTCTTAATAAAAAAAAAAATACCTACTTCTTGAAAATATATGTTATTCTTCTTTATTTCTGCTGACACCAGGCTAACTCAAAAGGAAGTAGGCCCTCCTATGCAAAAGGATAGAAAATTACTTGGTACAATGCTTGCAATTTTACATGAAGAATTCTACTTGCTCAATGAATGAATCAGTGTTGTGTATTATGCAGAACATTGTGCAATCAAAAATACACAAAATAGGTTCTAATTTTTAAAAACAATATTCTGCTTTATACTGTATAATAAAAGTCTAAATAAAGTATTTTTAATCCTTAGTAAATTATTTCCTTGTTATTCTGACTGTATCATATTCCTGGTACTTCTGTTAAGGTCAAAACAATGCTACCAATACTTCGTAGATATTTGTTAGATCTGAGTCGTATCTGTAACCATGACGAGGCCATTTTAACGCAGGGACTGATTTAATCTATGATTAATGCCATATAAAGACTCCCTAATTAAAAAGCACCAGTCTATAAAAATACACAAGCAAAAAGTAAAAGAAGATCTCTTGTGATGAGAAATAAAGAAGTTAAGGGAAGAAGAACTGAAATTTGTTCAATAACACGCATATAATTTAAAAACTGAATTATGTAGTCTACAGAGAACAGATCTGGACCAAAGCAGGAACGTAACCAAGCAGGTCTGGTTTTTAAAGTTCATAGTTTTTTGATTGTTTTTATTTCATCAAAAATTGAGGCAGATGTCTCAGGCCTCAGATATCGAAACTTAAAAATTTATGCGTGAGTTCACAGATAACAAACTTGAAATTTTGTTTGGATGGATTGTGAAGTTAGATTGCAAAATATTAAAATGGTTATGCAAGATAAATAATATAAAAACTTGCATGGGAGGACAAATTTAATTTTACCACTATCAGGTCTTAAATCACGCAGATAGGCAGAAGGCTGGATTCCCATCCCACTGCAAAAGCCAGCTTTTTATAAAAAGTTGTGGTTACATTGCTCAACTGGTGGAGAACACATCCCTTCATGTGCTGGCTGTGGTTTATAAAGGCATCTGGAGTCACTAACTTCTTCAGAATTGGCCGTTCTGTTAATGGAAGAAGAGAGATTCTGAAATGTTCTTCTCCCCACCCACACTCCATGGAGTGGTTAAAATCAGAAAAAAAAAATGCTCATCAAAGCAGAGCTATTATATGAAGTCAGAAGAAGATGAGGCACACTTTGTTGTTCTAGATACACTCTGCTTTATACAACTAGACCTCATGGTGACACTCAGTCTAGATATTTTTACACATTTTTAAGGTGTATTTTACTAATTCTGTATTCTGCTTGCATGATTAATTATTCAAAAATACTTTCGACTACAAACCTGATGCCCAGGTTTCTTGTACACTGGACTGAAGGGCATTCAGGTAGAGCTTTTGATTTATTCTGCTCAGTACTGACTATTCAACCCATATTTTGTAATGCATATATTCTTGATATTGTACTTCAGGTAAGATCTGGGTCCTTTTTGGAATAGATTTGCTAACATTTCTTAACAGTGTTAACTTTTTACTGAAAATCCCTGTTAATTTTACCCAGGAAATATACTCTCTGTATCCATATCTTTCCCTTAATAGTAGTGTTCTTTACTCTAAATTTGTTTCAATTAATCAATTAGTTTTAAGCATGTATATAGTTCCGCTCGGGTCAAAGTGAACTGCTTGTATATACTGGAAATAGTTATGTGTCAGTCTTGGCTTCTCAACATTTTTTTTGAAGCATGTTGTTGTCCAATCCCTCAAACACTTTTTAAAATATTATTTGTCCCTTGTGGATTGTGGCAAAACCGACACTGAGCTAATTTCTGTTCTCTTTATTGTCATGAATAACACTGCTATATCCATGTCTCCATGAAGAGCAAGCTTACTATATTCTGTGGAGCCTTACGGCTAGCTGCATACACTAAAAAAGGAGACAGATTTTTTTAGATAGTATGTGTAGATATCTGTCAAATAAAGTTGGTTTGTGTTTTAAAAATATGGCAAAAATTTCAGACTGTTCTGAACTTGCTGATTTTCATTGCTGTGTAGCAGTTCTCAGCAATGATGACCAGTATTTCAATGCTGCAAGCACCTGAAACATAAATCTAGACTTGCAAACCAGGATAGTTTCAAGAATGTTGACCAAGTTTGCAGAGCAGGTTTAACAAGAGTTGCTAAAGTAGCCATAACTTTCACTGCTTCTGGACGCTACTCATTGTTACCCAGCCGGTTTGTGTGAATCATAACAAATCCTCTCATTTGGTTAGTGGAAAATCCAGTGGCCACCCTAGTGAGTTCTTTTAAAAGCAGGAATTAAAATTTTTATTTAGCTTACTGAAATCTAGGGAATCAGCAAATTTCATTCACTACGAAGGCACTTTGCTCCAAAGGAGAATGAATGAATAGCTTGTGAAATAAATTGCCTGATGTGCTTTGTTGTGCTACTCCAGAAAATCACATTTTGGGTTTATTCAGAAGCTTCTTTTTCAGAAAATTCTGTCGCTCACAAGTGTGATAGAAAAATTACTGAAATATAATACCTTTTTCATTTTTTTGTTGGCTTGGTTTTTCTATTCCTTATCAGAAAGAAGGGAATTCAGATGCCTTTAAATTCTTTGAAAATCTATAGATTGATAGGCACATTATTGATGAGCGTTGATAGAATTTAAGGGCATGTTCCAGTGTGGGGGACAGGAGCTGGCAGGGAGCATTCTTGTTAACCTCAATAGGTCTCACAGTTTGTGTGATCATTGTGGTACTGGAGCATTCCCAGATGTGTGCTTTAATCTTTGTCTGCTGCCAGTTGGCACCGCTGAGGGTTGGTGAGCATCCATCCAGCCCTCTCCTGATATTTTCAGGCAGGCACCCTTGGATGAGAGACTTAGATAAAGATAGAGGCTGCTTTCTACTCATATTCTCTCACTACCTGCCATGCAGCAAGAGGTTTGTGCTGCTGGGCATTACATGTGGGCACCACTGGCAGATGTAGAAACAGGATCCCATGCAGTGGGGCACTGCCCATTATAGCAAGAATGGTCAAATCTGACCCTCAGCCTTCTTTCCTGAAAAGAGGTAAAAAAAAAAATAATGGAGATCCAGCAATCCATGGCAGAATCTGTTTCTCTTGACTCTTAGTAAATTTATTTGGTTTCTGTCAAGTGCAGTAAATGTTACTACTCTGTTTTCCAGCCTTCAAAGTAGAACTAGAATCAGATGTTTGCATTAAAATCTGCTCTAAGCAAATGCAACTGTCCTTTTTTTCTTTTATCCTGTTCCCTGACATTTATGCTTAGCAGATTTTTTTAAAAGATCTTTGTTTCACTTGCAAGCCTATATTTTAACATACCACAATATTTTGCACTGATCAAACTCCTAGTTTCTCATTAGTGTCACCAATCTCTACAGTTTTGAGTAATGCATCAGTTGTGACAGATACTAAGCTATTTGTTTTGTGTGCATTAATTTGCTAACAGTCATCTCTGTATCCTCCCTCTTATTCTCAGTATAGGTTGATTGAGTGTGAGTATCTGAAAACATATTGAAAGCACATATATATGGATTTTGAGAATTTATTTTGAAAGTACCATGTAACCAGTATATATGACTAATATTTTACAGCAACTATGACTGGAAAGAAATTTCTTTAAACAATACAGTAAACATCATTCAATAATGGGATATCCATCCTAGCTGGCAGGGTTAGGAGGTTTTTTTTGAGCTTTTGCTTAGAAAATTAACAAGGCTTATTGATCTGATGATTCCTAGCTCATTTGACTTACTGCTACAGTTTTCAGTTATATTAGGACCGGAGATTAAAACAAGCAAGTATTACTTGTGCTACTATCTGAGGCATCCTGCTTAGCTGCATGATCTCTGAAAGTTATGTTGTACATGTTGCAGTATGAATTTTGTTTTGGCACGTTTGTGTAAGATCTACATTAAAATCAATAGATTATGTTTTCAATTAACTGGTGAGACTGAGAGAAGATTTTTTCTCATGTCCTTCTTTCATTTTTTTTAAAGTAGTCTCAAAATCTTACTCTATGCTATTACTGATTTATATTTCTTTGACTTCAAAATGCTTTCACTTTGCAGTGCTGCAGGCCTGCTTGCAACTGATTGCTGACAGCAAAAGTGATATCCAACAGAAAGGTAAGAATATGTTCCACGATTTATAGCTAATTATTCCATGTATTAACTCTTCTATCCAATTTTATCTAACTTCAAAGTAGTAACTGAGTTACATTGTTGAATAAAAATTAAAAAAAAAAAAAAAAAAAAGTCTGCATCTGGAGATCTGGAGAACTCTTGAACTCTTGCAAATATCCTCTTTTCAGTGGGGAAATCCAGCCAGTGAGACTGGAAGTCTTCATTAAAAGTCAGCTTTGTTAATTTTTGGCAGATGAAAATGATTTCTGATTATCCTTAAATTATTGTTTCTTTTAGATGATTCAAGCATTGTCCCTTGGCTTCTGAGCTTTAAACGTGGAACAGCTCTGGAAGAACAAGGCAATAAAATAGTGATCAAAGAAACAGGATATTTTTTCATATATGGCCAGGTAAGAAAGCTCAATTCGCTTCAGCATCTGACTTTTTAAATAATTTTTAATGTCTCCATGCAATATGTTTGAAGTCTACACCTCTTTGTTCTGTAGGTTTTATATACAGATACAACATTTGCTATGGGACACCTAATACAGAGGAAGAAGGCCCACGTGTTTGGTGATGATCTCAGCTTGGTGACATTGTTTCGTTGCATCCAAAATATGCCACAGTCTTATCCAAATAATTCTTGCTATACTGCTGGTAAACATCTAAGTTTTCCTTTTCTTTATTTGTAAATAAACTGTATCAAATAGAATCCGTAGTGTTGGGTGATTAAGTATTGTGGCAGTTGTAAAGACAAAGATTCATGGATCTGATTAATTGCAAAATTACAGAATACTTTCAAAAAATATGGTTTTATATAAAATATTAGCAGCTGGAGGGTATGCATCTAACTTAGGTGGTCTGAACAATTCCCCTCTCTCCATTGACTATATAATGTGGTTGGATACTTTGGTGCTTTCAGTTAGATGCCTGAAGCAGACAAAAGGAGTACATACTGTCCTTCCTGAAGAACTCAGTTTAACTTAGCGGTTGCATTCCACGTTTAGTTATCTCAATAAAATATTTAGGAGATATCTTCTGCTTTAAAACATAATAAATTAATTTTAGACACCCAATTTTTGCATACCTTCCTGGGGGATTTCCAAAGGTATTTCTTATCAGCTTATCTCCTTATAATGGCTACTGCAGTTTTAGTATTTGGTGAGATGAAAAATAGTTAGTTCCTATAAGGAGTTCTTTCTGACAGGACAAATTAGAAACACCTCAAAAAAGACCATTTAAAGAATTTAATCCAAGCCCATCAGTATTTCTTATCAGCTTATAAGTATATTCTTATATATACTGCATATATCCTGCAATAGCATTTAAGGATTTATTGTCAAGGCCTACTAAACCTTGTTTGGTAGCTCTGATCTGTCTGTCTTTCCCCCTTTTTGGTGGATTTGAGGATTTTCTCTTTTGTTATTTTCCAGCAAGATCTGTGTGAATATAAACCTTTCTTTCCAAATGCCTTATAAAAAAAGGGGGTGACCTTGAGTGGCAGAGTTGACTCTTGGCAAGTAATGCCATTAAACAAATGGGGTGGGGAACGAAGCTAATATTTATTTTCCAAATAAAAATAAATTAGCTACTTCCTCCTGGGGACTGAGACTGTCCAAACATTTTCTTTAACCTTCTGTCCCTCCACCCACACATTCTGGCATCATAACCACCTTCAGTTTCATCTGTCCTCTCATCCTCTCATTTCACCCTTGTATTATACCCCCCCATTTCTTAACTAGGATGTTTACTCCATCCTGCCATTTCATGGCTCCTGCTTCCCAAATTCCCACCATTCTGCTTTCACCTAATCTCACTCGATATCTCATGCTGTTGAGCACGTGTCGCTGCAGATGTTAGATGTGCCCTCAGTTCAGTGATTGCAACTGGAAGGCGAGGTGCTTTTGGTTAGCATGTCAGCTGATGTGCAGCTGGCAGGAAGCAGACTTTTGTGCTCTGCAGTTGCAATGGATCAGCTGATGTCTGGTAACTTCATTGGGTTGGCAAAGCTCATGAGACCTCCTCCAGAAGCGTGGGAACAGAGTAGTCTAGGACCAGCAACACCCAATGCTAACCTTGACTGTCACATCACCACAACATGAGGAATCTGGGTACACCACTGTTATGAATTTTTGCAGTGTTTGCTTAAGTGTACTGTGATGTGCTGAGTGCAGAGTGGAAAGTAGGTCCGGCTCCACAGAGGATGTTAAATGTCAGCTCTGGATAGGCTGATTGTGCCTAATGATAAAAAAGCACTTTCACAAGTAGCAAGCCTAACAAGCCATGCTTGTATTTGTAATATGATGTTTAATGACTTTTTGAATACTGTTTATGAAAATAATGTATTTGAAATATTAACTTACAAATATTCCAAATCTTTTGCCAGGCATTGCAAAATTAGAAGAAGGAGATGAACTTCAACTTACAATACCACGGAGAAGGGCCAAAATATCCTTGGATGGAGATGGTACTTTTTTTGGTGCAGTTAGACTCCTCTGAAGCCCTTGATTTCTGTTATTACGCTTAAAGTTTTTTATGCCTTTGTCAGAAAAAAATATCAAATTGTAATAAAGCTGCCAGTTCAGTCTCTCCTCATCCACCACCAGCTTCTGAGAACTTTTCTTCTGTTTAATAAGCAAACCCAAAACAGGAAACACACCAGATATACTTGTGAGATATAACCATCATGTGATTACCAGAAAGCCAATTTATTTTAGACAGTGGGAGATGCTAAATAAAAACTGTAAAGCAATGGTTTTTTGGCTTTGAAACAACTTCCTGTCCATAAGGCAAATCAAAGAAGGAGTTGACCATGAAGTATAGCGTAAACAGGACTATTGACTAACAAATTATTATCCATAATTGAGAAGGAAAACTAAAACACAAGTACATCTTATATTTGCTTTGTTTCATCAGCAAAATATTTGAAGTATTAAGCATGGAGAAGAAACATCAAACAGTAGATTCCTTATCACAGAGTGGAGGTGTCAGATGGGTTGTGGGTTTGGTTTTTTTTTTTCCTTTGACACCAAGATTTTGGGGAAGGAAGAAGTCTAAATGTATGGGATAATGAAAAAAAAATCCTCAGAAATATACAGAATAGTACCCACTGGCTTGCTCCTTCCCTGTGAACACAAGGTGTATAAACTACTAAAATCTATCAGTATTTACTAATTAGAATTAATTTCACTGGAAAAAAGGACATATGCTTCAACAGCTCAATCTTCAAAGCATTGCTACTCATCAAGGAATATGCATATACTTCTAGGTAAGCAAGGCAGGAATAGAAAGAAACAGTGACATTAGACACAATACAGCAGGTAGAATTGGATTCCTGCCTTCATAATTTCTGCAGTCATATATAGATGTGTGTATATATATACAGTATGTATATGTATATATATGAAAGTATGTACACACACATATATAAGCCTTTGACATTTGGGCATATAATTTTATCTTCTTTTGAATGGTTTATCCAGTGGAAATATTACGGCATACATATTTTTTTATTTCTCTTGCTTTTTGCTATGATCCATTCTATGCAATATAGTAAAAAGAAAAACCCAATAAACTTGGAACCAGCCATAAACCTAAGAAAATACATTTATATCCCAGAAATCTGGGCTCAATTCCTAGGTTAACTATAGGCTTTTTTCTGCAGTTTTGAATATATTGCTCAACTCTGTTTTATAAAAAAAAAGTCAGACCTGTAGAAAGACTAAACAGACTTCTTTTTTTATTTTCTTTCATCCTTCTGTTTTGTTGAGTAGATAAGATTTGTGTCTTTTTTACCCCACAAATCCATGTGTCTTGCACAGTCAAGGCAATAGCATGGTAATAGTTTGATCAAGACTTCTAGGAGCTATTGTAAAACAAACATTGAATAGTTATTCCACTGATCTTCAAAGAAGTATTGAAGTGCTACTGGAACAGATAAAATAATAAAACCCACATTAACAAACTGTACTTCATTTGCAAATACTTTTAGGGGTTAAGAATTGTGTAAGCTCATATAGTAAAGAAATAAGCTCATTTAGTAAAGAAAAGATGCTTTGTACATTGCAGTCTCCTTGTCTGTTTTCATAAATTGTGCTGACTTGATGGAGTTCTCTTGGTGATAGACAATAAATAAAAGAGATTTGGAGCTAAGAATTACAGACTATGGTATACTATGAAACAATTAATTCAACTTCTCTGGGCTTCAAGAAGACATTTCAGCAATAAGCATATGTGTACTTGATTACCATGCTGGCATTTTTATGAGGCTTAACTACAGTTTCAAAATGTCTGGAAGTCCTCCTTATACAAATGTATTTATTTATGTGTCCTGGAGCCAAAGCTGCTGCTGCTGCTGCTGATGATGATGATGATGATTACATTTTGATCTGCTAAGTTTGACAGAAAGGGTTTTTTAATCCTCTACAGGAACCCTCAGTTTAGCCAAAGGTTGTATAAATCTGCATGTAGAAAAAACAATTATTAGCATGTGCTGAGTTGTCACTTATTATTGTCATACATTAAAGAGATGCCCAGAATCTCTAATCAGAAGCTAGTTGATTTTAGCGTTGTCTGATTATAGAAAAAAAAAAAAAAAAATTACTGTTGCTTTCTCAGAGACCTGTTGGCTAAACTTGAAAATTTAACTTCTGGTATGTAAGTTTCCCCAGTGGTTTCAGTGGGCTTGTGTGTGCTTAGCTTAAGCCAATTATGAAGGTGCTTGGCATATGCACCTATTTGATATAAGCAGACACAGCGTAATATTTTAAACATACAGCACATAGCAAAAATTCTGTGAAGTTAAATCTATTGTCTTCACTTCCCCTTTTCCTTGACATATTTCTTCCTTCTGCTGCTGGTGAATGTGGCCAGCACAGAACTTTAGGGAATGTTTGGGGTATGGTGTTGTTTGGAGGAAAAATTTCACTTCTGAGTGAAAAGATTTCAGAAGTGTTCCCTTCCTTTAGTAGGATGAAACTGAGCTTCAAATTTCTTCACAAAAATGTGAACCACGAGAACTCCCACACATGTGCAGAGAGTGCAAGCGGACAGATCGTTCAGCTATTTCTACTGGCAAAGCTGGCAATTTTATTCTGGTTGGGTAACAAGTAGTATCTAGCTTGTTCATACCATATTTTACATTCTTATCAAGGACATCTAGCATTTAAGATAGGTTTCCGCAAATGCAAAAAACTGTGTGAATACTCTGTTTCTTTTTCATGTGGTGCTAAGCAACATCATGGCAAACATAAGGGACTCAAACATTTTCTTTCCAGTACATTTTCACATGAAGTGTGAGCTTGTATAATTCCTTCCTTTTTATTAATGTGCAGTTGGCAGATATATAGCTGCTTTGAAAGATGTAATTTGTATCTTAAAAATGAAAATATGTGTTATATAATGTGCAGTCACACACCCTTACTGACATACAGAGTACACTCATTACACGGCTCTCCATGTGTTTCTCAAATTGCTCAGCTTTGCCATTGTAAGACTTTAATTTCAGTTGTCCCATAGTTTTGCCAAGCTTACACCACTGGGTTTGAGATTTTCTGTACCTCTGATTTCTGGCTTATGTTGAATTGTCTTGGATAACTTCAGCCCCCAAACTTCTACTCTTCTAAACATAAGGGTAGGGAAAATGTGTTGTTTGGATTTTACTTTAACGATTTGGCTTCTTTTCCTTTGGAAAGGTCTAGAGAATCCATGCTCTGAAAGAAGAAATATGTGGAATGTGCATTTTGCTTTGTTTTAATCAGGGTTTTCTTTCTTCCTTCCTTTCTTTCTTGTGCATTGATACTTTGACAAGGTGTATGCTTTTGAAGAATATTTTATGCTTTCTCATGTTAAACATATTCTATCTCTATGGAACTTTCAAAAAAAGAGAGGAAAATGTTCCCAGCAGATGTCTCTTGGCCGAGTCCATGAATTACCACCATCAGTAAGATATAAGGTTGCTTTTCAAGGTCAGTCCAAGCAGCAGTGAGAAAGAAGTTGATGCAAGGACAGGGAAGAGGGAAGCTACATATTTGATGCAGAAAGGATCTCATGGAGTTTGCAGGTTACATAGAGCTTAGGGGTGATGGCGGAAACAAACCAGATTTGGAGCTGGACTGCAGAAATTGGGGAGACCCTAACTAGAATTTGATTGCTTGTGAGGTGGGAAGAAATGCCAGGGCATGATATGGACTGGCTGTGAAAAGCCTGGAAACTAAGTGAGGTTAAGCAAAGACAGCAGCTTTATGGAAAAGGGACAAGCTAAACACAAGTCCGTAATGAGCCCTGTGAGAGACAAAGGCTAACAGCATACTGTCCTGTATTAACAGGAGTGCCACCAGGACATTAAGGGAAGTGGTTATTCCCCTTTTCTTGGCACCTTTCAGAGTGTATTTGGGATACTGCATCCAGGTTTGGACACACTACCCCCCAAATACAAGAAGGACAGGGAGAAACTTGAGGGAGTCCATTTGTAAAGCAAGGGGGCATAGGGGTGGAGCACATGCCTGCCCAATGAGGAGGGGCTGAGGGAAATGGGTTTGTCCAGCCTGGAGAAGAGGCTCAGAGGGTCTTAATAGCAGCCTTCCAATACCAGTTAAGAAGCTGTCAAGAAAACAGAATCTTGTCCTTTGAAAGGCCCACGGTGGTGTGACAATGGCCAAAAATCAAACTGGGAAGTTTGTACTTGACATAAGGAAAAAAATTATTACCATAGTGTCATGGTTCATTTGGATCTCTCAAATTTACAGGCCAACATACTCTCTAAATTAAACTTCATTTTATGAGCTCATTAGGAAAGAAAACAAACATGACAAACAAATGTTCAATCTCCTTTGTACAGGCTAGTCTAACATGTGCATTCACTAATTCATCACTTAATTCATGAGGTTTCTAACTCACAAGCTCTCTAATTAATAACTCACAACTCATAACTTGTAATTTGTGCACCTATGGGCAAAAGAGTTACCTAGGTGATGGGGAGAGCACTCATCCTTCCTCCTCCGTCATGGTGCAGGTGTCCCCTGTATCACACTGGGAAGCATGAAAGCCTCAGCAGTCCAGCTGCTGTTGGATCCGCTTCAAAAACTTTTTGAGTAAACAGATGAATTTATACTTCCAGCTTAGAAGTTTGATCCACACCATTTCCATGAGTTAGCAGATTATTAAGAAACTGCCAGACAACCAGTACTCAAGGATGATGGCTGCAGCAGACAGCAAGCTGCAGGTGATAATGGGTCCATAATGACCCTTAGCCCTTTCTGGCCACCATGTCCTGCCTACATTGCCTTCGCTTTGACCTAATGGTGCTGATCCCAGCATAAATCAGGCATTAGCATAAACTGTGTGGTAGCCAAAATCTGAGCAGGAATTGAGTGAAGAGTCAAACCATGGGGACAGTCAAACACTGAAGCAGGTTGCCCAGAGGGGCTGAGAAAAATCTGTTCCTATAGATTTCCAGCACCTTAAGGTGTAAAGCCCAGAGCAACGTGGTCTGAATTCAGTGTTGATCCTGCTTTGAGCAGGCAGCAGTACAGACCTCCCAAATGATCCCTTTCCCTGGCTTATTCTATGGTAAGAAACCAGAAGATGTGGGGGGCAGTGAAAGGACTGAGACTAGTGGCAACAGGTCAGAAAGGGTCCTGCTGGGGAAGGAGGGGTGTGCATTTCCTGAGTGCAAATGAAATACAGGTTCCTCAGTGTGTGCTTCAAACATTCATGTAATGCACAGGGCAGGCTCCAGTTAAGCACAGCAAGCTGCTAGCAGTCATAGGGTACTGCATGACCTGAAACTCAAGAGCGTAAATTGAATCAAACCATGTGGCCAAGTAATAATCTTTCAAGTTTCACTCACTTGTAAGTTTCCTTTGGCTTTTTTTTCGGCTCCCCCTCCCCCTCGCCCCTTCACTCAATGGATAGGACACACTT